CTTTTTCTTATTTTTGTAACATGTCATTTTTTTTTACTGTTTTTATAACAACAAATCATTGTTTTTATTGTTATTTTTATTATTTGTAACATACCATATTAAGCTATTTTTGCAAGAACTTAATAGACCACTCATTTTTTATGTCCAATTTTTGTATTATACTATTTATTTTTATTTTTTTTTTAAGTTGTAAAAGGCCATTGGTTTCTTTTTTTTATTATTTTTGTAGCGGTGCAAAAGTATATAATTTATACTTGTAATTTTAGGATTTTGAAACTAAAATATATTCCTTTTCAAACTCCTTAAAATTCAGGGTTTAATCTCAATATATATATATATATATATATATATATATATATATATATATATATATATATATATATATATACGGGCTGCTCGAACCTGCATAGGCCAACCTGATTAAAGCCCTATCAGGTACCGGGCTTATTCGAACCTGGCCAAAATAGTCCAAGGTAATTTCGTGTTTTAATTTTTAGAGCTTAAACCTGCCCATTTAACAGGTTTTTTTGGGCCCAATCCATCGGACCATCCCATTTTGCCGACTCTATGTATCACAATACCCTCGTGCTTGCTATTAGAATTTGGGCATATTGACTAGTGCAAAATTATGTTTTTCAACCAATTTAGACCCAAAACACCCAAAAATCCAACTATGGCCATTTTATGCTAAACTGTATAGTTAATATTTAAATCAGCGTAAAATTCAATTAAGATAATGGCCATACATAAATGAATAAGCTATAAAAGTATGTCAGGATACAGACTTATCAGTTTGCATTTTAAAAAAGAGAAATCTCTTTTTAAAATGCAAAGAAACATGCTCTAAGTCATTGATTTCACTTCAAGAGAAAAATAATAAAGAAAAGATAGGTTACAATTTTATTGGAAAGAACAAAAATAGAAAAAACAAAAGGGTCATAATTTTTTTAAACAACTTCCATTTTATCCACAAAGATCTGTTAGAAAATATTATAATTAAATTTTAAAATAATTGATTAATTATTATATATTAATTTTATTATTCTAATTTAATTGTTATTATTACTGATATTTACAAGTGTGTGGGCAGTAGGGCTATGCAAAAAATCTAGTTTTATAAATATAATCCATAACCAATATTAAATTGGTTTAAAAAATCTAAATCTATATTAAACTATTTTTTTTATTAACTATATTTGTGTAACCAGTTTAATATCTAAATTCACTTTCTAAAATTAGATTTTTTTTATTTATCCAATATGAAAGTACTATCTTCTATATTAATTTTATTATTATTTATATTATTAATTTTTATTTTTACAAGTTTAAATTTAAACTTTTATCATGAACAAAAAATAATAATAAATATTTTATAAACTTCTATAAAATATAATATAATTAATAAATATTGCTAAAATATTTTTGAAATACATTAATTTAATAGAACATTAAAGATAACAAATTTGTTTTACCTTAAAAACAAAATTTATATATTTAAATCTAAACACAAAATTTAAATCTATGAATGGATGTCCATTCGTTTTTTCACTTTTAAGCCTCCAACAAAATTAATATTTTAAAAAAATTAAATAGACATTTGGTAGTTCCGTTGGAAATTTGGACTAAGTCTATCCCTACACTATTCGTTTCCAAACAAATGTGTAAACATATCAAATTTTTAACTATGTATAGTAAAAAATACTTTCATTTATTTAAAATTATTTAAATCATAATAAATTAAATTTAAAATTAATTCAACGTAAAACTAAATTTAAAACTAGTTTCAATAAAAATTAAATTTTAAATTAATTTTAAATTAAATTTAAATTTTAAAATTACTTTTAAATTGATTAAAAATAAAATAAAACATTTTAAAATTCAATGCATATGGTTAGTTTGTGTGATAAATAAATGATAAAAAGTAGAATATATATAAATATTTATTAGTTTAATAAAATATAAAATATATATTATTAATAAATTAAAATATATGTAAATATTCTTTTGACATATATTGTTAATTCCTTTATAGATGTAATGGGTTAGATTATCTTTGTACTCATATTTTATCTTTAATAAAATGTTAATACTTAACAATATATATATATATATGTGTGTGTGTTAATACTTAACAATATATATATATATATATATATATATATATATATATTATAAAATTTAAATATTTTTTAATATAAGAACTTAATAATGATATAAAAAATATTTATTGTATATTTTTATTAGATTTAAAACCAGTTTTAAATCAAATCAAAATTTTAAAACCAAATTTAAACTAATTTTTAAAAAAATTATAATATATTGGTTTATAATCCAATCCATATATGAATTTTAAATAGATCTAGATTGGTTTTTAGAAGAATCCAATTCATGCTCACCCTTAGTGGGCAGTTACATAACGATCATGTAAGCAGTTATTTATATATTTTGGAAAATAATATACATGATATAACTAATATTTTCTTTGATTATTACTTATTTTTCTAGGTTACAAGTTGATATCTTTTTAGTTCTTGAGAGTCTTGGTCTTTAGTCAAGAAGAGTCTATTGTATCTTGGAGAAGATTTTTTACTACACCAAAATAATCCTTGAACACAATATTCTACATGCCTCAGACTAATTTGTTTCTAAACTATTTTGAGTCAATTTTTACAACAATCAAGGATTATGCCTGAATCAACAAACAATGACAAATTTATCAACAATGCTGCAAATAACAATAAAATTGACGGACTCAACGTGAATCCACATACATCAATTGTCCCTGCAGCCAAGTATGCAAAACCTTTCCTAGACATGTCAAAGATAGAGATGTTCCAAGAGAAAAACTTCAAACGATGGAACAAGCGTGTGTATTCTGTTTTTGATTTGCACCGTGTAGCTTATGCTCTCATGCAACTGAAACAAGAATAAACTATCGTCTCTAACCAAACTTATCATTATTACCAAAGTTTTGTTACATAGAAATTTTAGTTGATATTATTACGTGAGTTTTGGGATAAGAATGTAGAAAAATTTCTGTCTATAATTAGATAATTACGACCTTTAATCCTTTTCAAATCATCAAATGATTTGAGAAATCTATCCATTTTACAAACTTGAAATTTTAGAATCCTTTCGTGGTTGCTAACAAAACAAGACTCCTTTAATTGAGTACTATATATTTACCACTATTTATTAAGTCTCTCCTTTTTTCCCTCCTTCTTTTCCTTTCTATTTCATTTCTATAGTTGCTCAAATAAAATAAAAAATAAAATACATTGTAAATAAGAACAAAATCATTTTAATCATAATCTGATTTTTTTAGAATTATTTAAAATATGTAATAAAAAGTCAAAATGTTAATATTTTATATTCAAACACAATAAAAATAAATAAAAATAATTTTCATCATTTCTTTTTGACATTATTGAAAATTTGGATGTTAAAAAATTTATCAATATTTTATGTTTAAATAAAATAAAAATAAATAAATTGAAAAGCATGAAAATATTTTTTTTCGATTAGATCAAAATTAAAAAAAAAACATTTTAGATAATGTAACACCTAAATTTATTAATTTGAAGACGAAAAAAAAGATTTGATGATGTAATAAAAATAAAGTTCTTAAGTATCTCTAATAAAGAAATTAGAAAAATCTAAATCCAACGAGGCATGCATAATAAGACGCACATATAATGGGCATACATAACAAGGTAATATTAGTTTTTAATAATTTTATAAGAAAAAAATTAAATATGATGCAATATATTAATCAGCTACCTCTATATATTAAGCACAAGTCATCATTTTAAAATTATAGTGATTTTAGAAATTATATTAATCAAGAGTGATTTTAAGATTTTTATTATTATTATAGTATAAGTATTTAATTTTATTTAATTTTATTTTTTTTTCTTTGTTTATTTAATATAATATATAATAAAATATTCACAATTAATGATAAAAATATTTAGTGCTTTTAAAATTTATACTATACTAAATGTTAAAATAATCACAAATACATCTTTTTTTATTTAAAAATTATTTTAATTTATTAATATTTATACTATGCATAAAAAACTTATTAGCGTGCGTAAATTCTAATTTTAGTGCTAAATTTACGAGTATCAATTATTTTAATGTTAAAATTTTATAATATTTATATAGTAATATCTAATTTTATATAATGTTATTTATTTAATATTTTTACATAAAATAATAGAATGAATAAATAAATAACCAAAATAAGTAATATCTTTTTAAATAGGAACCAAGGTAAGAAGAATTTTAGAATGTTAAGAATAAAAGTAATTAATACTTAAAATTTTAAAAATTAGAATGAAGGTTTTCTTATGAACAAATTTGCAAATAAAAACACATCTAATCCTATTTTATTCTTTTAAAAGTTATTCAATTGGTTGATCTTGGACAACTACTGCATTGTTCTAGTGTGGAGGTTATTATGATTTTTGTTATTGAAAGCATTTCTTAATTAACTGACATAGGTGTGTCCTGATTAGATGAGATATTACGAAAGAAGTGACATAAAATACTAAAAACTAGTTTGATGAATTATAGGATAGAAAATGGCATGACAAAAGCGATAAATAAAAAGACAAAAATTATATAAGAAGAGAGGAGAGAACAGATTTAACGAGTGTAACTCTACCGGCAAATTATGTAAACCTGCTTTTCTAAGAGGAAAGCTTTCCATGAAATTTATCCACAATCAGTTTCCAAGTAGAAGATAGCTTAGGATTAACCCGACTGGTATTCCAAGAAAGGGGAAAGGTACACTATACAATTCAAGAATCTAGCCATATCCTCAATTACCTCTTCACTCACATTGATGCTTATAAGACTACTCTTATGAAAATTAACTTTTAATCCCGACACTAACTCAAAACACCTAAGTATACACTTAATAGTATTTACATTCTCTCATGTAGGCTCACCAAAGATGAGAGTATCATCCACAGATTGCAAATGAGAGACATTGATCATATCCCTACCACATCAATTCTTTTAAGGAAGCCTTTGAATGAAGCACTTTTCATTAGAGCACCAAATCCCTCGACCATAAGAATAAAAAGAATGGATGCAAGTGGGTCTCCTTGATGCAACCCTTTACCCATTGGGAATTCAAGGGATGGACTACCATTAACCAAAATCGAGACCTTAGAAGAATGGAGGCACCCTCTTATCCAACTTCTCCACTTTTCATAAAACCCAAATCTACCTAACATGTAATCTAAAAAACCCCAATTGACTGAGTCATATGCCTTTTCGAAATCTACTTTAAATACAAGGCAAGGATTTCTTTCGTTTTTGACAAAATCAATCGTTTCATTGGCTACCACCACTCCATCTAGCATATTCCTCCCACCCACAAAAGTCGATTGATTATCAGACACTAATTTAGCAATTACATCTTCTAGCCTAATGGATAGGCATTTTGCAATGCATTTATACATACACCCAATGAGAGAAACATGCCAAAATTCATTGAGATGTTGAGGGCAGCTGACCTTAGGGATAACGGTTAAAAAAAATGAATTACACCCTAATAGTAGCTTACCATTTTGGTGAAATTCTGACATGAATCTAATAATGTCTGGCCTAAGGTGTTAAATTTTTTTTTAATGAAGTTAAGATTATACCCATCCGGCCCCAGGCTCTTATTTCCCTCACAACTCCAAATTTCATCTCTAATTTCCTTCAGTGAGAAAGGCTTTACCAATTCCTCCTTTTCAAAAGAACTTAATGTTGGAAAGTCAGTCCCATCCAGTATTGATCTATGTCACCCTTCATTCTTGAAATTTTGTTCAAAAAACTCCTTGACCCATTCTTTAACCCTACAAGGTTCATCACACCAAACTCCATTAACTTTAATTCCACCAATATCGTTTTGTGCCCTTCTCACCCTAATAGAGATGTGGAAGAACCTTGAATTTACATCTCCTTCTTTCAACCATTTGGTTCTGGCTTTTCGTTAAAGGATAGACTCCTTTTTTCTTTCCAACTCCCAAAATTTCACAATTAATTCCCTTCTATCCATCACTTGCTCTTCGAACAAGGCATGAACTTCCCTCTCTTTCTCTAACCTATTTATATTTGAGGCTACCCTTTCAATTTGAGTGTCAACATTTTCAAAGTTAGAAATATCCCACTCTCTAATTTGCCTCTTCAAAATTTTTAACTTCTCCTTGAACCTATACGCACCCCACCCAACAATATTTGTATTTGTCCAAGTTTCTATCACTAGCTTTTGGAAAGAAGGGTCATTTAACCAACAATTTAAGGTCCAAAAGGGTTTTGGACCTCAATTAATATCCACACTCTTCACCATGATAGGTCTATGGTCTGAAACATCCCTAGAAAGAACAAATTGTTTGATATTCGGCCATTCCTCCAACCACTCATTGGAAAAGAAGAACCTATCAAGTCTACTCATAGCTAACCCATTTGCCCCAAACCAAGTAAATTTTCCTCCAATAAGAGGAGGTTCAATCACTTGTAACTCCTCAAAGAGTTAGTTAAATAAGGATATTTCTTTATGCCCTCCCAATTAGACACACCTCTTCTCTCATCCCTTCTTCTCACCACATTAAAGTCCCCAACGAAGCACCATCTCCTATTCCCTAGCCTATTCCTTACGCCAACCAATGAGTCCCAAAGTTAGGTTTTACCTTGCAAGTCATAGGGGGAATAAATGTTAACAATCACACATAGAACGAGAGCGCTACCCCACCTTCCCTTTACTGCCAAATAACCTAGTCTAACAAAATACCTACACAATTTGAATTGATTAATTTTTCATAGACATGCTGAACCTCCGGAATTACTTATGGAAGGTGAAGCCACCCACCCAACATCATCATTGCCCCATAACAACTTACTAACTGGTTAATCAAAAATTACCATATTAGTTTCTTGGATACATATAAAATCTACAGCTTGTTCCCTAATAATCTTCTTAATAACTCTTTTCTTAATTCTACAGCATAGACCCCTAATATTATAAGACATGATTATTATATATCTTTGTTTAATCCCACCTGAACATTATCGTTCTTTGCTCTATTCTCCTCCTCTTTCTCAATGTCCAGTAGTTTTCTAATAATTTTCTCCTCATTTCCTACAAATGATACCCCTAATTCTTTCCTTTTCTCCCACAATTGTTTGACCCTATCTTCTTTACTTGAATTTCTAAAATTATAGCTAACCTTATTAATAAAATTATGAGAAGGTAAACTTACCTCTAGATGCACTATACCCTTGTTTAACTTACCCTTCTTGTTACACTTCTTCTTTTTCTTCTTCTTCCTACACTTCCTATTTCCTTGACCCTCTATAGCCTGCAGTGCCCAGTTCGGATACTTGTAATTGCTTTCATCCTTTATTCCTTCCCAGAAATTGTCCCAGCTTGATATTTCATCCCCATCAGATTATGCGTCCCAAGAACCCCTCTTATTCATCCTAAGATTTTCTTTTTCTTGTTGACAAGGTACGTTTTGTGGTGGTTCAATTTCACCCAATTGAGCAATGGGTGATTTGACGCCTACCCTCTGTTGTGGGCTGCAGTTCTGACTTCCCAAATTTATACCAAGTGGGCCTGACCCAAGGTTATAACAAGCTAAGACCTTGTTTGGGTCACTACCCATCATAGGTGTTCCTCCTTGACCATAGTTTACCACAGGATTTAAAGAAGTTTGTGGCCCACTATGTTGTGTCTCTAACAGTGTGTTAAGCATAATGCCCATAGGTCCCACGTAATCTCCTTTCAAAGCATCAATTGGCTATCTAGATACAGCAGCATTTAGGCTTTCCAATTTGGCGGACAAGACGTTTGAGGGACCCATATTTATTTTTCCCATATTCTTAGTAACTACACCCCCTACTTTTGTATTAATCCTACCAAATTTTGAATTTATACCATCATTACCTATTATCCCACCCTCCTCAAGATCTTCATTGGATGAAGACCTGAAGGACTCATCCCCAGAAATCTTTTTCTCTCAAACTCAAAAAGTGTTGAATTCCCATCAGTATATTGACCTTTACACATTTGGTACACTGAATCAACCTTGCAACAAGGTTGTTCCTCCATAACAAAGACATTAAAAGATTCACCATTGACCTTATATCTAATGGTTTCAGTAACAGGCCTTAACATTGAGACCCTTGCAAGAACCCTTTCCATAATCTAATATTTTTCTACACTTAGTAGACTCATCTACTTTAATAAAGTAGCCGAACATAGATGCAATAGACGCAAAAAAATCATTTGACCATAAATGCAAAGGAACCCTATAACAACATAACCAAACTCTTCTATGGCCCGTACAATCTGTGGGTTTCTATGCAGCCATAGAGAGAAACCACTTCCCTAATGCCTCCTCCTTTCTAGCAAATATCTACGACATGTTAACCCTATTTTTGGGAGACAATAGTGTCATATTATCTCCTATATAAGTAATTCCCATAGAATGGATACCTTCCTCAGCGAGACAATCTAATACATGATCAAATTTTGACAAGTCCCATAACGTTGCAACAAAGCAAGGCGTGAGCCATTCGTACTCATCGTTGTTCACATTTTTAAGTATGCCTTTGGCATCTTTTGGGATTTTCCTCACATTGGCCTGACCACTCCCATTTTGCCAGAATTTCCCATGACGCAATCTAGTATTCCCCAGTGGTATGATTTGATTCCTACTACTTTCAGGTCTCTTATGGACAACTTCCTTGCTAAACCTAGGGTTATTAATATGGATTTTTTTCCTTCAATGACCACCTAATATAATTTTTTCACTGTCCTACCGAGTCAAATACCCCTTCAAATCTAACAAACCCAAACCTTTTACCTAGTCTATCACGTTTCCCTGGGATGAATACCTCCTTTACCTTTCCTTATTTCTGGAATACCAACCACATTTCTAGAATTCCATGACTTTTTGGGAAGTTTCTAAAGAAGAAGGAGGTAACCGATGAGTTTGGATCGTTCTTTGGAAAGCTTTCTCCATATTTTGTTGGTTGATTCCTACTAGGCATAGTGTTATGACTCATTCGGTTGCCCACCTATGTATTTTTTTTTTAGTATACTAGCTTAGATTTGGGAAGGTGTGATATTTTCGGTTCTATTAGGTTGTTTTCTACCAAGCTCTCAAATTGGTACATTATTTATTTCATCTGGCATCCCCATGTTTTCAGTAGGTGCATGGTTATTATATGGATGTGAATAAGGTAGAGTAAGTGGTGTTACAGATAATCACATATTGAAAGGAGCCAAGTAATGAACATGATTATTCACCACTGGGTGGTACACAGGTGGGGAGGGAGATGGGTCAGGAAGAAGTGGCTGAAATGGCACCAGGACAAGAGGGGCAGGAAAGGCAGTAGGAGGGAAAGGGAGAAGGTTGAAGGAGAGGTGCAGGAGGGAGGTTAGGGAAAGGTGGGGGATGAGAGGATTTCATTGCCTAAACGAGTCAAAAGGTACCTAAAACCCTTTAGAGCAAGTGATTAGTCATGACACAGGATAAAATGGTCTAGAGCAATCAATAAGGTTTTAAATTGGTTTAATTATATTTGCTATAACTTATTATGGTTAATCTCAAAGCAATACATATCAAACTAATATTTATATTTATGAATTAAATTTTTATTTTAATTCCTTAGATAGAAAGCAGTAGGTATTTCAATCTCTAAAATTTTAAAAATATCATATTATTTCTTAACTTCTATCTTTGTCAAATATTTTAGTTTCTTAACTCAAACACCATCAATACACAATAACAGAATGTTAATATGTTATGTTAAATAATAAATGTGAAAATTAAACGGGCTAAATAATATTGTTTCAATAAAAGATATCAAACCTACTATTATTACCAATGCAAATGGTCAAAAAACAACGTTGTTTATGGTGGCCATCAAGAATGGCAACCAACTAGTAGGTTATATCGCAAAGTATTAGACAATGAAAAATTTTAAAAACACCTTTTTTTTTTCATAAAGAAGTTCATTAAGAGAAATATAGTTGACATAGTTGATTAGTGTTTAACTTCGTCTTAGTACTTGAGGTAAGTGATGGAGTATTTGAACTAGTATCTACTTTTAGAATACATACTTGGATTGTGGTGATTTTGATAAGGTTAGGCTTCCTTCCACCACAAATAATGTTGTTCTTTATCTCTCAGCATCAATAGTAATGGTGGATTTGTCACTTCCTATTAAAATAACGTTTGGTCAAATTAACTTTCACATTTATCACTTGAGGTAATATATTAATATTATATTATTATTTATTGACAATATCCTAGTTAAGGGTTTAAAATACTCTATAAAAATAAAAGTTAGATACTAATATGATATTTTTAAAATTTTAAAACTAAAATATCTTATGCTTGTTATTTTAAAAATAAAAATAAAAATATAGTTAATTTCATATATATATATATATATATATATATATATATATATATATCAAAAGTAAAATTCTAATAACTTTAGTTACTATTTTCTTAATCAACAAAGACATGTTTATTATTATATATTATAGGCATGGAAGATATGTAAAAGATCTGTTTATCGTGTATCTAAAAATCATTTAATAAAATAGAAATTGTATTTAAATGTTAAATATAATGTTAAAAAATTACGCTCCAGCTCAACTCGCGGGTATATATGTCGCAAATACTCAGATCTATAGAATAACACCCCCTCCACTTTTTAGAACGCCAGTATATATGCTTAAGTCCTTGTTTTCGAAGTAGAAAAATAATTAAATTATGTAAATTTTTTATCGACAATCATTTTCATAAAACTACCAAGCCTACAACTCTGAGCGCAGTCAATTATTGGTTCAAGAATCATTGTCGGCCACGCTCTTCCCAAACCATTCTAAAGATATAAACAAACAGAAAAAGAAGAAAAGATAGTGTTGTCAATACTCAATAACACCATGGAATCTCATTTAGTTTCCGTTTACCATCCGTCTTTGCTCTCTTGGACAACTTTTAGCAGTCAATTTTGGATATCCAAACGCACCTTTCTCTTTATCCAATCCCAAAATCCACTAACTTCGAGGAAAAGATACGGAACTAATCACCCAAATTGTTCACATATCATGAGAAATTGTTTTGAATCGCTTTCGCACATTGAAGGTGGAACCAAACTTTGGTCAAATTAACTGAAGAACCATGTTTCACATCCCCAATCTTTTTTCAAAAAATATGTCATCATTAAGGTTCAAGAGAACCATTGAACAAAGGGAGTTAGTAACTTAGTATTATGTGGTGGGGTTGCTTTCGATTAGGGAGTTGGTACGTACAATTGAATCTTCCAAATGCGTTATGGGCTTCTTGTGGCTTTGTCTCCAAAAGAGCAAGTCAATTTCCAAAGTTTTTAATTGGAAGCAGAAATAAAAATGACAGATAATTTAAGTACAATAATTTTAAAGAAAAAATGAAAGCTCAAAATCAAGTAGCCAGAAAAGCAAAAAATATATACAAAAACTAAATCTCAGTGTCACTTGAATTGCAACTGCATGCTACATGTCAAACGCTCTCTTGCACATTTTGGTCTACTATTACTATCCACTATATATAAGATATTTTCTCATGTCAATACATCAAATTTAATGATTTAATTATCATATTAATCTTTTTAAAAAGCTTCCTATTCATTGAGATTCTTGCCGGAATTAAAATCTCCTTTCAATGGATGGGAAGTGACAGTAGGTATTCCAAATGACAATGACAAAACCCTTGCCAATTTAAAATAAATCGCACCTTAACCAAACAATGTAACAGTTAAGTGTAGGGTCAACGTACCTAACACTGTTCTCCACTACCACCTAACTAATCGATCACAGTCCCTACTATTGCCTTGTTTTACTCAATTTATGAACAGGTAAAATTTAGTTCTTTGTAATACTAAGAATGGGCCCTTCATTTTCTAGGACATCTGTTTTGTTAATCAATTTAAATCGTAGGGTTTTCTCAGTTTTTATTTTTATCTAAACTATAAATTCTTATAATTTTTTTTTTCTAAAACCCCCTCTTATATTGGATTGTCCACAGTTAAATAAACCGTGGTTATAAGTTGCAGGTAAAAATAATTTCTTTTATTAATAGATAATTTTAAATTCTTTAAGCAAAAGCTTTCTTGCATACACTAAATTTGAACTTAAGTATGCATTACTTGTGAATATAAATTATATAAAAAGTTTAGATTTAAAAAAAAAAAGACAAATTTCAATAAACTGAATGTTATTTGAGGTAGCTTTTCATAAACTAATGTTTAAAAATGATGAACTCCGTGTTATTTTATTAATGAAACAAATCTACTAACTGAATGATTAAAATTTAAATAAGTAATAAACCCAGAATAGCAAAGACACTCATAAACTAATCACAGTAGAATAAGTAGTTAAACATTTCACCCATCACCTCACCCCATTTGAATTGGTAAAATGCACTTGGATAACGATTTCCTCCTAATAATTCCATCTATCGCTGTTTAGTCAAACTTATTAAAAGACCTCAAATCCATGGCGCTCGAGAATTTGGACTAAACAAAGTCTAATTGTTGGTTTATGCCAGTGATTTGTAAAATTTGCAGATTAAACGAATTAGGTCTGTGACTAGCTCTGTAAATTAATTAAAAAAATACTTTTTTTAAATATTGTCACTTTAAAATTTTGACGAACTATTTAACCTGTAAATTAATTAAAAAAGAAAGCTTCAAAACTGATAAATTT